GGCTAGTTGGAAAGAAAATACTTCTTAATGAAAAGTCTCTGTCTGCGGTCTTTCCTTTCTTTCCCTTACTCTTTGTCTTACCTGTTCTCCCCTCTGCAGTGAGTACCAACCTAAGCATGGTGGGTGGAGAGTGTTTTCCCTGCTTGCTTCTCAGAGGAAGTAGGGGCACCGAGGAAAGGCGGTTACTTAGCTCCGAAACGCAAGTGCAAAACCGAAGGGGTTTTTGTTTGTTTGCTTCTAAACTCCAAATCTTACGTAGATTTGAAAAGGAAATACAAGAAGTACTGAAATTTCAGTGAATGTGCATTCGAGGTTGAAATGGGAGGACCACTTAAGTTCAGGAGTTCAAGACCAGCCTGCACGATGTAGTGAGAGCTCATATTAACAAACAAACACGTGTGTAAATAGAGAGCTGGGCCTGTTTTATGTAAACTCAAATTCAGAAGGGTGGTGAGGCAAAAGCATAGATTTGTTTCCTGGAATATAATTTGAAATCACAAGTCCGTGATTGGGCATTCTGCTGTCTTTGGCTTCTGAGAGTTACCGTGGCAAACAAAGCTCACCCTTGTTACAAGGTATTACTAGCAACTCTAAGAAATGGGCAGCAGAGGGGGACGAGCCTGGTATACCCAGCCTAGTGTGTGAGCTCCTGAGGACAGTGCCAGTCTGGATCACCCTGGGGAACTGTTACAGTTGAGGAATTTGAATGTGGATTTGAAGTAATAAAGATGCCAAGTCAAATCCTGCTCCTTTTTATCACCTCCTGTGGTCTGATAAAAACATAGTAAATGATATGCAGGGTATAGGCATCATTTCAAGGCTCTTTTCTTCATTGCCTCTTATATTTTTATTGCTGTAGAGAAATCCCTTTGAAGGAAACAGATCTCCCTAATGTTTGGGAAGAGATCTCAGCAGTCTGTACTAATCAAGGTAGTCCAAGCAGAATGGGCCAGGGGGGTGATCTCTGTGGCTTCCAGGAGAAAGTCACAGGCCTTCCTGCCCTGCGTGAAAAAATGGCCAGGGGCAGAGATGGTAGTTGTAAGATGGAAGAAGGAGACAAGCCAGAGAGGCCATGGCCCTCGGTGATGGTCTCCTGCACGTCTTCTGTGCATACAGTAGATGTGTGTGCTCCCTCGTGAGTGTTTGCAGAGCATGTTGTACAGCCTAAAGCCAAGGCATTTGTAGCTTTCTGAAACAATGTTTGAATCACAAATTGGGTATCTTAAAAAAGTGGCCACTATGGCTTACATGGCTGCCTTTTAAGACCCTCAGAGAATGCACCAAACGACATGAGCCTGTGGAATAGGGCAAGCATGGCTGAGCAGCTGGACACCCTCTGCCAACCTTCTGTTCCCCTTGAAATGGAACGGCCAAGGGAGACTGGCCTCAGCCTCATCCGGCTGGGCAGGTCACAGGAGCAGAAGACTCCATGCTTCACTGTCCTTTCCCCACCTCTCTTAGAATTGCCAGTCAGTGGAATACAGTCAGGATTCTTGCCGTAGTGACATACAGACTTGGCTGGGCTTGTGTCCTGAGCTGTGGAGGATTTGGGCTTTGGGTAGAAATCACCTCCTTTGTGGGTCAGTGGTAGCCCTGCCTGTAACCCTAACCCCTGTCCTTCCCACAAATCTGATCGCAGGTGACACATGACAGGTGCCACTGAGAAGGCTGGGAGCTTAGCGTCATCGTGGCTGCTGGGCTCCTGAAATGTGCTGCGCCAGAGGAGCTGATGTTTGTGGCTTTCCAGGCCTAGGGAAGCAGAGTCCCTCATGACCCCATAACCCCACCACCTTCCTACTCTCTCCTTTTCTCCCTGGCTGCATCTGATAAGTGACATCACTCTTCATCCACACATCAAAGCAGTACCGCTAGTGGACCAAAGAGAGCATGCAGAACGGCCACAGGAGACATATGATACCCTGCTGTTAATCATGAGCTCTCAGTGTGACCTTCTCAGGTCACTTTCCTGTTTTCCTGTGTATCTCGTGCTGGGCTCTTTGAGTCTTGGTAGTTTGGTTTTTTTTTTTATCACCTGCTCTGCCGATGGCCCACAGCTTGCATACCTGTCACTCCCACACTGACAGTCAGCTAGGGAGTTTGCTCTGAGGTTTCTAACATCTGATCTCCTTCCTTATTCACCTGCTTAGCCACCTGGCCCTCTTCTCTTTCCCTTCAGCCGTGCTTCAGTCTGGCCACTCCTGCCTGACAGGTGCAGTGTTTGTTGTCTCTGACTTGCCCCTGGCCTCTTGAGCAGGCTCTATCCTTCCTCCTGACTCCAGGGTTCTCTAGGCAAACTCTGTTCTCCTGAGTTATGATGAACCCTGGCTCTGGGCCTTGCCCTGGAACTGTCTCCAGGTCTACACAGGTCACCTTGACTGAAGTGTCTTATTTACAGTTCTGGCCAGGATGACCAGTGACCAGCCCAGCTGCCTTTTGTATGTCAAGGGTAGGCCTATTTCCCACTGCTGTTGGTGGAAGCTGTTTTCAGGGGAGTTTGGATGTCTCTGATTTTTACTGTATTGCTTTGTTGCACTACCCATGATTACAACAGGTAGCTTTATAACTTCACATGCACAGGGATTATTCAGGATATATTTAAATTACTTTACACATAGGAACAATTTTCCATGGTTTGTGAACTTTGTAAAATGTGATAACCTTTATGTATGTTAAACTGAAGGGTATTTTTTTTAATGAGCCACTTCCCTGTAGACTAATTTCCAACATAATTGACATATTCTTCAAATTCTACTTCATCTTTATTTTTGAGATGATTCTTGTTTGACAGGCTCTCACTGTTAGTTCAGTGTGGCCTCGAATTCATTGTGTATCCCAGACTGGCCTTGAATTACAGCAATCCTCCTGCCTCACTCTCCTGAGTGTGGGATGATAGGTGTACACCATCACACTTGGCTCACTTTTTGAAATGATTCTTGGCCTCACTTCTTAAGTCTTTGCTCAGCTCTCCACTCACACAGTCCTTGTCTTCGTCTCTGTCACCTCTATTTCTCTGGAACACCGTGACCTTGGGAAAGCTTGCTGTATTTAATCACTTTGGAAGCTCAAAGCTGTCCTCAGTCACTGGAAAAAAAGCAACAGCCATGTGGTCCATCTCCAGCCCAACAAATGGTGCTGTGGATCCCTGGTTAATACACTCTGGTTACCACTTCCCCCTCAGTCATGTGATTATCTTCATATCTGTGTCACATTTTTCCCACTCTTGGATTCAGGTTCTGAGAGTAGTGATTCTAAACCAAGGGCATGTAGAGATCTCACTGTGCTTGCAGGAGGGAGCCTCCTGTCAGTGCTGGGAAGTGAAGGTTGCAGACCTGGCCTGGGGGCTGTGAGGCTCCTGTGAGCAGCCATGAGTGAGAATGCTGCAGGGCGCAGTGGGGCGGGGGGGGGGGGGCGCGGACCAGGACACACAGGTGGCATGTGGAGGCCGGGCATGGTGGTCCACGCCTGTAATCCAGCACTCCCAGCTCTCAGGAAGTTGAGGCAAAGGATCTCTGTGAGTTTGATGCCAGTCTGGGTTGCATAGCAAGATCTTGTCTCCAAACAAAATCTATGACATGTGTTTCAAGAAAAAAAAACTTGAAACACTAAAAATGCCATTCATCCCCTCAAAACTCTCTTCCTCATTTTGAAGGCACTTACCCTATCTTATTGCCGCTCTCTGGAGCAGTTCTGGAAGTCCTTTTTCCTGAGTATCTTTTCATGACTGACTCTATGTCCTGAGTCGATTGAAAAGTGTATGGCAGTTTCTGGCAAGCAAAACATACCTGCGCATCCTCACTCACCCTGTTTCCCAGACCTGGCTCTTGTGTAAAGTGAAAATCACCATGAATAATAAACACTTTGAGTTGATCTGGGACATCAGGCAGCTGTAACAGTTCCGCTAAAGTCACGCAGGAAAGAGGACTTCCTGAACTGCTTCAGAAATTGGCAAGAATGGTGGGCTGAGTGTGGTTGAGGGAGGGGAATTAATGGCAGTGTTTTTTTACTGTAATAAATTTTTTAAAAAATTCAAAGATTCCACATGCTTTTGGATCACCCCTCATAGCTACTAACCAGGAGTTAGCAAGAGCCAGTGACCTTCTGGGTCCTATATAGTGGTCAGATTTGGGAATAGGGTTTGAATCAGGTTGCCAGATGCAGCGGATAAAAGTAACAGGATGCCAGCTTGAATTTCAGATAAACAGTGAACATTTTTGGTATTAATAGATCCCTGTGAAGTTTAGTGTATTAATAGATCCCTGTGAAGTTTGTCCAAAGTTGATGTTTTATAGGTCACCTTGCATTTTACCTGGCAGTCTAAGAATGCAGTTGTGATCAGCACTCTTCCAGAACAATGCTGTGCAGTATCCCAGTACCCATTTAGATTCTACAGATTACAATTTACAAAGTGAAAACTCCCAGCACACATTTTTGCTCAGACTTTTGAACTGCTACCTGCACCTATATCTCAAACTATTCAGTTTAGGCTCAAAGATGTAACAGAGGTTATGAGAGCTAAAGAAATTTCTGAGGGCATTTGGAATCTAGGGCATTTGGAATGGTTATAAATCCACTGAGCTGAACTACAAAGAAAGACTGCTCACAGACTGTATGTCAGCAGGGGGAAGCCACCTGTAGGTATTGTTAACTAGAGCACTCATTCTTAAAAAACACATGCACACCAAGGAGTTAGGAAAGGTAGTATGTTTAGGAAAACTGCATACATGGGGGCCACCACCTGCTCTTGTTTTTATTCATGAAATAGAGGTAATGCCTACTGTGAGGGGAAGAATTTGAATGGTATATGATAGCAAGGCATTGTCATACTTACATATTTAATATAAATGTCATGGAGTGATTTGACAAGAGAGGCAGACATTTAACCTGTGTCTTTAGGTCAGATCGCAAAGTGTATGTTTTAAGTCTTGCTTTTAATATTAAATAGTTGCAATTGACTTCCCGCAAATGATTTCTTCTGTGTCTTCGTAATGTTCTCTGTGTAGGACTAACACAGATTCCTCAGATCCAAAAGACTGAAATTTCCTTTCGTCCTGCTGATCCCAAGAGCTATGAGGCCTATGTGCTGAACATATATAGGTTCCTGGAAAAGTACAAAGATGCGGCCCAGAAGGATGACATGATTTTCGAAGATTGTGGCAGTAAGTAAACTCTCGTAGATGCCTGTGGCTAGTTTGTCTTTCTAATTAATTCCTCTTTTCCATTTCTGTTTGTTGTTTAATGATCGAGGGATACTCCAGAAGCAATCAAAAGATTAAACTCTGGCCATTTTAAGAAGATACATTTAGGTTTTTTTGGAAAAGTATTAAACTTTATAAATACTCCTAGACACTATTGATACCCAAAGGCCACAGGTACAGTTTTTATTTCTTATACTCACCAAGAAGTATAACTGCTTATTTCCAAATCTTGCCCTGTTTAAAAGCTGTCCCTGCCAGGAGGTACACAGGCCCCTTGCTTACCTGCTGACCCGTGTAATCAGCTGCACCACATGGATACCGATGGAGCAGTTGTACTCAGGGTTTATTTTATATTGTGGGTCCCATTTGGACCTGTTGCACAGCTGAGCATTGTGGATTAGCTGGATTATGAAAGACAGAAAATGGATCTGGGGGCTGGCTGTGCGGTAGGAGTGAGAGGCCGTGGGTTGTACTATTAAGTAATTGACACGGATGCACTTACAGTTCTCCTCTGTTACCTGGAGAGTGAATTTCCCAGGTGTGTTCTCATAACTCCAAAAAAATTTCTCATTTTCAGATCTAGGTGATAGCAGCTTATATGGAAGACTGGTATTTGGTCATACTATTGGGTGAATTGCCATTTTTAAGTCATTTTGGAAAGATAAGGAAAGTAAGGATACGTTTTCATTGTGAATTTTTCTTACAGAATTTAAACAAGATTTCACCTTACTTGGTAGTAGTTTAAAAAGCCCAGAAGGTAGCAAGGGAGGATCACCTCATAGGATTAAATTGAAGCATCTACTATTTGAAGGGAAAATAGTAAACTTTAAGAAATATATATTAAAAGAGTAATTATAATAAATTATGAATGTCAGTATCCAAAATAGATATTTAAATACTTGCATTATTTGCCTGAAAAGTGTTACATTTTAACTTGAAAGTCTGTGTTTTATGAATTCTGGATTTTATATGAGGTGTGAATTAAAAATACTAAAATAGCATTTGGTTGAGTGCTTTCAAAGGCAAATATCCAAATCAAAAAATTTTAAAAAATGAACTTTGAATTTTGGATGAAATGCAACCCCCCCCCCAAAAAAAGGATTCTATTCCCCCTTTCACTGTTTAACATGCATTAGGGGCATGACTTCAGGAAATTTTAACCAAAAAACTTTCAGTTTCAAAATATTTACGGTCTTTTTAATTTGCTCTAATTTTCATGCCCCTGTTACTGAGCTAAGCCAGTGATGCTCTGTGTAAATGATGCTGCTTATGAAACAGCTGATCCAGGTTCCCTTCAGTCTTTCCAATAGCTGAGTAGTCCATTATTTAGAGGAAGAAAAATATTATCAGAGACCAAATGTGGGTTCCTAGGTCCAGGTGCTGTGCAGCTTTGATGTGTGACTGTTCCAGCTATTGCCTTTGGTAAAGTAGCTTTTCACTCTCGGTAGAGAGACGAGAGTTGGTTCCTGTGACCAAGGACAAAGTTCTTTTTCCTTTCTCAGTGGTGCTTAGGGCAGTAACAATGCAATATAAAAATGTCATTTATGTTTTCAGCTGTGCCTAGTGAACCCAAAGAACGAGGAGACTTTAACCATGAACGGGGTGAGCGTAAGGTCTGCAGGTTCAAACTTGAATGGCTGGGAAACTGCTCTGGACAGAATGATGATAGTTACGGCTACAGAGACGGCAAACCCTGCATCATCATAAAGCTCAACCGAGTTCTGGGCTTCAAACCAAAGGCAAGTCATGTTTTTAGCAACAGGGTTCAGCTGAGCAGCTGACATTCTGGGTGAAGTACTTGATTGACTTGAAAAGACAATATACATATAAAGAAGCCTTAAAGTATATTAATGCCAGTTTTGGAAGCCAGTCAGTAGAATAACATCAACATTTTTGTGTTTGACCTGAAATTCTTAAAGAGTTTAAGGTAGGATTCTCATTTTCTAAAGTTATAGAAATTCTGAATGGCAAAGCCAAATTTTGAAGTGAGCCTGAGGTCCTGTCTCAGTACTTCCGCTTAGCACCCAAGTAACAGTTTCGATGGCATGGAAACTCTAAACGTAAAACTAGAAAAGAATATTGTTAAATTTAAAGATCTGGATTGGGCTTGCCTGGCTTGTCCACAGTGCTGGATTCAAAAGAAAATCTCCTGGGTGTCCAGTCGTATTCTGGTTTTAGGCCTCTGGGAGCCATGCAGGTATATTAAACTATTACCTAGTAAAATAGGAAGAAAAGGTTTTCTGAGTGATGATTTTATTGCATAAAACAAATTGAAAGTGTAGACTGAGCTTTAATACCCACAGCATATGCTAGTTTTCTGCAGCTTATAAGTGGTAAATAATACTGGAGATCACGGGGAAGTTCAAATTGCAGCTGCTCACCATTTTGTGAGAATAACTTAACTTTTTTAAGAGAAGAAAAATGTATTGGTGTTTTTCCTGCTTTTACAAAAGTGGCTATTTCATTCTCTCCAGATAATGACCTTTAAGCGTGGCTTCTGCCAGCCCATTTCCCCTCTAATCACGACGCGAGCAGTCATCATACTTAGGTTTTTAATTCTGATAGAGATTTTCTGCAGTACACTGAGTGCAAACTCATTTCATTTTTTTCTATAAAGAAAATAATACTTTATTTGTAATATAGTAGCTGCCAGCAAAATACCGATGTTATGTTCCAAAGAGAGAAAAAGATACAAGCATTCTGTGATGAGCCTTCGATTGACTGTTCACTAAAGCACATATTCTAATTCTGCACATTATGACTTAGCAGTTGAATTTTTGTCCATGATAAAAATATAATTTTGGTTGCCCCAACCTTGATGATTTGTAAAGGATGGAACTTTTAAAAGCCTGTAAATAAAATGAACACTTCCCTCTGCTTGTATTAAATAGTGATTATAACCAGTGTAAGAAATTGAGGTAGCTTGATAAAATGTGTATCAAAATGTTGGTGAAAAAATAATTTCTATTTCCTGTCATTTGTACTTTCAGTTATTTCCTAGGTGGGATTTTTAAATGCACAAAAAGAAAGCTACAATTATGGGGAAATTCAAAACTCTGCAGAAGTAAAAATACCTAAATTCTAGAGTTGATTTTCTTGTAAGACTAGGAGATCTACTCATTGTTGTAGGGTTGATCTACACATTGCTGTAGGGTTTAATGTTGGAAAGCCCAAGTTACCCGGAAGTCATTTCATTTGTGAATTTGAGCTTTTCTAGTCCCTTGTTTTCTAACAAATGAAGCTAATTTGTTTCTACAATGCTTATGACTCATATATTTTGAAAAGAAAAGCAGCGAGAGATGAAAACTTTCATTAAGCATGCATCAAAGCACCTTTATTGCCATCAGACACAAAAATGGTTCAGTGGGTATCAGATGGCTGGCTGGCTTTCCTGCAGAAATCAGTGTACTTCTCCACACAATTTTAATCTTCTTTCCATCCAGATTAGAAAATAATGGGGAAAAATGGTGAGAATCAGACCATACCTTAGTTGCAATGCTCAGAAAACCAGGGCACTCACTTTCCTTCAGACTCACAAGCTCGTTTTCTCGATGGGCTAACGGAGGCGTCCCCTTTCCTGTCCTGATGAGTTTTTATTATTTTGGTAGACTTATCATGATCAATATGTTTTTCTTTAACAACGATGTACATCTTACTGACCAAGCTGGGTTTTATCTGTAGCCTCCCAAGAATGACAGTTCGGAGACTGTGGAGATCTACTCCACGATGAAATACAACCCCTACGTTCTGCCGGTTCAGTGCACTGGCAAGGTAAGGCCAGCAGGGTGACTGAGGGCGGGCAGAGGTGGGGCGGGAGAGAAAGAGGGCATGAAGGCTGCTCTTCTAAGAAGGGGTAAAATTTTAACACTGCAAACAGCAATGTTGGCCTTGGGTATGAGTCTCAGAAAGTTAAGCTCTAACTATACTAGGTGAAACTTAAACTTCTTCAAAGGACAGAAAGATACAGCAAGAATAAAACTGCATATCAGTTTCTCCATTGGTATGAGAGACTCAAGCATCGAATTCAATCCATTGAAATAGTGAACTAACCTGCAGAAGTGCTTGTACCGACCTGCCATTTTTCTTCTTTTCTTTTTTTTTTCTTTCTTTTTTGATGAAGTCACATAAAAAGATATGGCTTTTCTAAAAAATCTTGGAAGGTTAAGGTAATAGTCAAGATGTTTTTAGCCTAGATCTAAAAGCAGATAGCTGATGACAGTTGTTTTGAGAGAAAACGCAGAATAAAAGGGAATCCCCAGTGCCAGTTTATGCTGACATCTGAAAAGGAACTGTGTAAGACATAATAGGCAAATAAACCTTTGGAGAGGGCGATGCTGGCATCAGTAGTGCCCAGTCAGCACTGAGAGTTCTTTCACTGTCAGCTTTCCCGCAAAGGAGGCCATGTTGGCCTTGAGAGATGCTCACTTGGTCTTTGCCTTAGTATCCCTATTTGCACTGTGAAAATAGCTTCCTGCTGTGACCATTTCTTAAGGCTGGTGGGGGTAGGCCAGATGGATGCCCTTCCTGAGGCACCCGATACCTACCGGAGTCTTCTAGCACCTGTGGTCCCTTACTTCTGAGAGCAGGCTGAGTGACACCTGTCAGGACAGCGTTTTTTCCCTCCAGCCGTAGCCTGCCACCTGCTCCCTGGGGTTGTGTCTTGTATGTACATGAACCATTAATCCTACGTTTCACTCTGGGTTTTAGCGAGAAGAAGATAAGGATAAAATTGGAAGTGTGGAATACTTTGGACTGGGCGGATACGCTGGGTTTCCTCTGCAGTATTATCCCTACTATGGCAAACTCCTGCAGCCCAAGTATCTGCAGCCCCTGCTGGCCGTGCAGTTCACCAACCTCACCACGGACACTGAAGTTCGCATTGAGTGTAAGGCGTACGGTGAGAACATTGGGTACAGTGAGAAAGACCGCTTTCAGGGACGCTTTGATGTAAAAATTGAAGTTAAGAGCTGATCACAAGCACAGATCCTCCCCTCTAGCCATTTAATAAGTTAAAAAATTACAAAAACAAAAACCTACTAGTCTTGAACAAACTGTCATACGTATGGGACCTACACTTAATCTATATGCTTTACACTAGCTTTCTGCATTTAATAGGTTAGAATGTAAATTTAAAGTGTAGCAATAGCAACAAAATATTTATTCTACTGTAAATGACAAAAGGAAAAATAAAAATTGAGCCTTGGGACGTGCCCATTTTTACTGTAAATTATGATTCCATAACTGACTTGTAGTAAGCAGTGTTTCCGGCCCCTAAGTATTGCTGCCTTGTGTATTTTGTTTAGTGTACAGTACAATAGGTGCATACTCCGGTCATTTTTCAAGCCATGTTTTATCATATCTGTTTTCTACTTTACGTGAGCAAGGTTTGCTGTCCAAGGTGTAAATATTCACTGGGAATAAAACTGGCATGGTACTTTTTTTTTTCTTTTTTTTTAAAAATCTGTTTTTTTGTTTGGCTTTTTCAAAGATAATGGCCCATCAATGAGCATTTTTAACACACACTCCACAGTCTTTCCCTGTGATGTTAGGTATTAACTTTGTTATTTTTTTTCTGGGGTTTGGGGGGTGGGCTGTCATGGGGGAACTGCCCTTTAAATTTTAAGTGACGCTACAGAAAAACACAAAAAAGGTGATGGGTTGTGTTGTGCTTCGTGCTGAATGCTGTCCTGACATCTCTTCCCTGGTCCTCCAGTGTGTCCTAAAGCTGTGTCTGAGATCTGGCTCCACCTGTCACTTAGGTTAGTGACAGGGCTAATTGGTTTGCTTTGTACATTTTTTTTCCTTTTTTCCATTCTCTGGAGGCATCACATGCTGGTGCTGTGTCTTTATGAATGTTTTAACCATTTTCATGGTGGAAGAATTTTATATTTATGCAGTTGTACAATTTTATTTTTTTCTGCAAGAAAAAGTGTAATGTATGAAATAAACCAAAGTCACTTGTTTGAAAATAAATCTTTATTTTGAACTTTATAAAAGCAATGCAGTACCCCATAGACTGGTGTTAAATGTTGTCTACAGTGCAAATCCATGTTCTAACATATGTAATAATTGCCAGGAGTACAGTGCTCTTGTTGATCTTGTATCAGTCAGGTTAAAACAATGGACAATAAAAGAATGAACACATTCCTCATGTCCACGATTCATTCTTGTCTAAACGCCCCAGTCTGTGACTTCTTTACTTCCTGTCCTGCTAATTATCCAAGATCTTGAAGAAGTACTGAACCTGAAAGTGAAACATACAATTTCATTAGTTCACAGGCCAGGAGCTGTGTCACCCTCTGGCCACTGGGCACCTAGGCACATCCCTTCCCAAAGAGAAGATGCGCTTCAAAGAGGCAGAGAAGCAAGGGGTCTTTAGTTTGAAGTTTGATTTTAGAAATATTAATTTTGTAAATCATGAAATTCTAGTTCTTGCTAGTGCCTCACTGGATGTGACTGTTTTAAAAAGAAAATATGCCGGGCATAGTGCCACCCAACTGTAATCCCAGCCCTGTGAGTTTGAAGCCATTGTAGGCTATATCGTGAGTCCAAGGCCAGCTCAGACTACACAGTAAGCCCTTGTCTTAAAAAAAAAATCAGAGTTGAAGTTCAATTTAAAAAATGAAAATAAGTTTGAAATTCAATAAATTAAAAGGTTTGAACTTTCTTACTTTTTGGTTCTGTTTGACCTAAATAAAAGTTTAGCTTTTGTATGAGAGAAGGTAAAAGCTTTCTGAAAAACATTTTCCAGGTTTAACAGAGCTGCTGATTTAATATTGCTTGACTCACATGGGAAATGCCCAAATTAAAATCATGGAATATTCCTGAAAATGGAAACCTTTCCCCAAGCTGTGTAGCCACAGCTCTGGCAGCTCCTTCCTGCCATCAGACATCCCGGTCCCCAGAAGTCCACGCAGAGTGAACAAGACATTAGACCAGGGCTGGTTCTGTAGTGCCGTAGCGGGTTTGAAAATCCGAGGAAAGCTTTGGTTCCCAACTGCTCTGCTTTTCTAATTCTGATTTGCCTCTCCTGTTTATTCTTAATTATTACCCAAGTCTGTTCTCTACAGCAGCAAACTGATGGTGAATTAATACCAAACTGACTCCATTGACTGAAAAGTAGAAAAGCAATTGTGTATAAAGTTCCTAGGCATTCTCAGTTATTGCAGAAATAACAAAATCCATAAACAGTCTCTTTCATGACATTAGGTCTCTCATGAAGGGACCAGGAAATAGAAGATGTTGCTTCTATAACAGAAGATCTTTTTTTGAAAACCAGCTCATTTTGCAGGGTAAATCAGCAATGAATCTTAAATGCATGGTAATCAGGACTAGGTCTGATACATTTGGAGGCTAATTTGCATTTGGAGACCACACAGAGGTCTTGACCTTGCAGAGGTTTTCATCTGTACTGTGCACTTTATATTTGAACCACCATGTATGAGTACACACATGGTTCTCTACCGACCTCTTCAGGTTCTCTCCAAATCTTGCTTCCCCTAACGTCTCTTAACTGTGTCAACCTATTTCCCAGCCATGATCGTTAGGGTCCTTTAATGGCTGGGAAAGTGGGAATGTAATCTGTGTAACATGACTTAACAGGTATTTATTGACTGCCTGCCATGACCCTGCTGTGTCAAGCACTCTTCTAATGTGAGGACTAAATCCATGGTACAAAGCTGATGAACCCACTTTTCCCCTGCAACTGACAGTTGAATGGTTAAGTACTTGGATATTTCTGCCATTCTGCTGCTGTACATTTTACCATGTCTTTTTTTCTATGATCAGTTTACTCCAACACATTCCTTAGCTTTGGGGGGAATGTCTGCCTCCTTTGGGGAGTTTTATCCCATTCAGGAAAGGGGTTTCACACAGTTTGAGCCACTTCTTCACACAAAGAGAATGGATTTTACAAAGGCAGTGTTTCTCAGAAGTGGGCTCAGTGCAACTCGGAATAAAAAGCACTGATTAAATGGAGAGAAGAAAGGATGCTCTCTTCCAGCCATCAGTTTCTCTGAGTGGAAATTACAAGATGGTGGTAGGTGTCTTCACCCCGGGTCCATCTCCTGAAAAAAGGCAGCTAGGGGTCTTTGGGCTAGAACCTTTGAGAAGCAATAGTATCTAGCTACAACCCAGTAACTTTTGTTTTCAGTGTACTTATTTCTCTGTTTAAGTATAGTCCGAGCTTTCCATTTATGGCAGAAAAATTAATTTGCTCATGTATAGCAGTAAATAAAATTTAAAACTATTACAGGTAGTACTTAAATATGGTAAAAATCATGAAAGTGATAAACAGCTGGCTAAAACTGAGAATTCTTTGCTTGAAAGTATATCATAAAAGAAGCCAAAGTGTTCAGCTCTGTATTTGTCTACACAAAATTTAATTGGAGCCCTATCACTTTTAAAATAGTCGCATTCCCTGTCTCCTTTAGCTTCACTTAATCCAGAACAGACTGCTCCAACTCTAAAGTCATTACAGTGATCCGAGGTGAAAGGCCCACATTCACAGTCCTCTCAAAGCTCAGTAGTAGCTCAAACTGGCTTTTTAAAGGATTGGTAACACTTCCATGTCTGTGTGTGCTTGGCCCACGGAACAGGACCATGTGGGGTTACCTTGCTGATTCAGAATGAAAGGCCCTGTGCATAGAGAGAAACTACCCAAGGGATATTCCAGGACAGTTTTAATCAAGTGAAGGGATCTTGGTTTCCAATTCCACAGAGAAAGCGAGGCTTTTTTTAAACACAGGGATAGCATTAACCAGGTATGTTATCTACAGCCCCCCTGGGTTTTACTCTGAGACAGATGACAAGAAGTAGAAAAAGCCTGTTTATTCTTCCCTTGCATAGCTCCCGCTGGCACCCATGTCTTACACGTGGTGAAGCAAAGGGGGCTGGGCCAAGGCAGGTATCTTGGTTTATGCTTTAATTCTGAACTTCTCTCCCAGAGACTCAGCATCAGTCTACAGTGTGGGATTAAAGAACTCACTAAACAGATACTCACTCTTACTGATTACAGAATCCAGCCATTTCATGAGTCCTATACTCTAAAAACAACAACACAAAAAAGGGGCCCATATTCTGATAAAACTCTTAACATTATCTCCAGGATGTCCCATGACAAAGCCTTTCTCATAAAGGGGTTTCATAGGATCAGGAGCTTATAGCCAGTCTTTGAAGGGCTACTGTTTCCAAGCAAATACACATTCCCTGAGTGTTGGCCCTACATACATCAGATAGGAGGTAGACAGGGGACTTGAAACCCAGCCACAGTATCCAGTACAGTCATCCCTGGGGCTGTCTTTTGGTTTGAGTCCCTCAACAATAAAAACGTTTCTTTTCTTTTTTTTTTTTTTTATCGGTACTGGGGATCGAACTCATGACTGCCTGCTTGCCAGGCAGGCGCTTATGCCGCTGAGCTAAATCCCCAGCCCTACCTTTTTTTAAAAATAACATTTCAATCCTGTGTATGAAATACCTTAATCTCCATGACTTGTCACAGGAATTTGTGATCATGAACTTGGCAAGTCATGGAGGCGCCTGGAACAGTCAGTCCTGCAAACATGGGATATAGGACCCAGAAGGACAAGGCACGGGGTCTGAATGAACCAGTGGCAAAGAGTGGGCCTTAGGTTCCAGTGACTGCAGAACAGCCTCTGGGAAGGGCGCAGACCATGCCAACTGACGCTTTGGGGCAGTCTACAGGAAACCATGGGAGATGGCCATGGCTACCTAAACCTTTGCCTCTTGCTGGCATTTCTTCTTTCCTTTCATTTGCAAACTTCTGAGCTACCCATGAGTTACCCAGTATTGACTATGAACTGGGAGGGCTGGAGAGGGGTTCCCAGATACACACGGTCCTATTCTCATAAATGTTTGCCTTTGCACTTTAAAAGGTTCTAAGCCAATGGTGGCAAACTTATGACACACAAGCCACAGTGGGCATACAGAGGCCTCTGTCAGCACTTGTGCCAAGTTGCCCCAGCAGCCAAACAGAGAGTAACGGTTGCTTTTCTAAACTAAAACCTCAGTATTCGAGTTTAACTGCAGTGTTGACATTGCGCACTAAATAAGCGGGTTTGGGGTTGCAGTTTGGGCACTTGGTTGCTGAAAGAATCCCCTCACAGGAGACTATTCTCATCTATAGTATATATACTTCCTTTTCC